ATAATCCAGCAGATGTTAGCAATTTGGTCTCTACTTCCTCTGCCATGTTGGACAATTTTGAGTCTCTCTTTCTCTCTCTTTTTGTAATTCAAAGCTAATACTTTTCTGCTCAGGAAGTCCTCCAAATACACAGAGAAAGAGTAGATATTGTAAAATCTGAAGTTGCCAAAAGTTAGCTTACCCAAGAACAATAAAACAATAACCGGGCTATGTTTGCAGCTGTAAAAACTATGTGAAAAAAGGATGAGATGAGACAGGAAGAGGGAGAATGGAGAGATTGAGGCACTGGATAGAATAGGAGCATCTCGGGTAGAGGAGATAGCAAGTGAAGCTAGTAACTCAGAAGAGCCAAAGGAGTGATGCAGAGGATTGAAAGCCAATTGTTGATCAAGTAAAATAGAATGGCTGGAAATCTGAACAGAAGCATTCCATGTGGCAACATTATGTTACTATGTGTATACTTAGTCTGTCTCTAAGTGTTTATCAGTTGTTTGCAGTACAGTACTAACAATAAAACAATAACCGGGCTATGTTTGCAGCTGTAAAAACTATGTGAAAAAAGGATGAGATGAGACAGGAAGAGGGAGAATGGAGAGATTGAGGCACTGGATAGAATAGGAGCATCTCGGGTAGAGGAGATAGCAAGTGAAGCTAGTAACTCAGAAGAGCCAAAGGAGTGATGCAGAGGATTGAAAGCCAATTGTTGATCAAGTAAAATAGAATGGCTGGAAATCTGAACAGAAGCATTCCATGTGGCAACATTATGTTACTATGTGTATACTTAAAGTCTGTCTCTAAGTGTTTATCAGTTGTTTGCAGTACAGTACTGTTGTCTTACTTGTGTAAGTACCAAATATGTGTTGTTTGTGATTGAAGTAGATTTTATTTTTTTCAGTCCAAGGCACTCTAACTGCTAGATACATTTGCAAATGGGGTACCTGCACATTTTTCCTTTGCAACAGAGAACTCTAGTGAGCCTCAGATCATTAGCTTCCTTTCAATCTTAACTCAGAAGTTGAGTATTGGTGCATGCACACTCAAAGGCATCCTGAAGAGAAGTCTTTGAAGGGAATAGATTTTAAATTATCCCTAGAAATGCAAAGACAGTGGAACCCCTAATTAAGATTCTTTCAGGCTTCTTGGGCAGCTGAACTTGGTACATACAAGTCCAAATAACTTGGTTAACTAAAATTCTGAAAATTCAGTATTTTTTGACCTTGTAGTCAAAACTTAGGGCATGAAGCTTACTGCCTACTGGAAGGAAGCCAATACTCTAGCAGGTAAGCCAAGTGCCATATAGTATGTGAGGCTGAATTGTTGCTTTTAAAAAAATATTAAATCAAACTGTAGTTTTGGGGAAAGGAGTCCTAATTTTACTAGCTTTTATTGCTGCCATTGTTCCCACACATGACCACATTCTGTCTTGCAGGTTCTTGTAAATGACTTTTTCCTGGTGGCCTGTCTTGAAGACTTCATTGAGAATGCTCGCCTCTTTATATTTGAGACTTTCTGTCGTATCCATCAATGCATCAGCATAAAGTAGGTGCATAAAAAACATACTGGAATTCTTGACTTCTGTAATCAGATAAATAATATTTCTATATTGAGGTTGTCCATTTGCTTCAGCAGTAGTTGAATTAGATACTTTAAAAAGTATAAGTGTGGGATGGTTTGCCTGTTAAGCTATACTTAATGATAAATGCTTAAGTGATGGTACCAATGCTAGTGAGGAGGACTTCACAAAACTCCTGAAAGTGTTTTTCTCTGTATTCATGTGTATATACACACTCATGCTGTCAGTGTAACCACTTAATGGATTGTTCGGGATGGCAAAGATCCCTTATCTCCTTGAGTGTGGTCATTTCACAATATACTTCAGAGGTTTATACATCCAAGGATTAGAAACTAGAACATTTGTCTCTCATATTTGTACTTTAATTGGTCTGTGTGGGCTTCAGTATAAAAGAGCTTGAGATTCCACATCTTTTCCTTCCAAGTTGCCACATCAGGCTGTCTTGTTATGAGCAAACTGAAAAGGCCTTTGTTTGGGACATTACATCACTATCTTCAAATGAGAGTAATGACCAAGTTGTTACTTAAGAGCACAGCATTACTATTTTTGGAAAATAAGTGTTTGAGTCATTTCAGATTATAGAGAGGGGACATTGGACCAGGTCATCCTGCATAATTAGTTATTGCAACTAAGGTGATAGTAGTTCTGCATGGTATTTTTATAAGTTTGTTTTCTGTAGTACAACAATATCCCACACTATAAGGATGCAAACCCTGCACTAAATACGTATTAATGCAATATCCAAAGTCAGAAATAAGCTGCTTATTCAGTGTTTTAATACTGAGTAACTATTGCAAAATATTTAGGGACATTGGGGAATTATTTTTCATAAGATAACGTATTAAAGGCACGATAACAATGAGAAAGTGCCACTTTTAAAGCTGAGCTAAAAATAATTTTTAATAAACACATAGTCCAGTTTGAATTTATTTTGGCGAGAGGAATAAAAGCCCTGAAGAAATGTAGCAAAAGAAGCTTAACAGTTCTTGCTTTCGTGTGGTGGCTTTTTTAAAATTAAACTTACAAAATAATCTGCAAAACCTTTTGGCTTTTAGGTATTATTAAGCACTTGATGAAAGATCCCAACCAAACAATTAGGGGACATGTAGTTCCTCATTTTCCTTCTTAAATTTTAGCTACTTCCACTCCCAGTCAAATGAATATTTCAGGGCATCCTCCAAATAATTACTAATTAATAAGTAGATAAACCATTATCATTAGATGTGCATTTAAAAGCACAATGTGTGTTTGTTTATAAAATGGAGCAAGTGCCAAGGGGCAGATACTACCTATCACTAACAATACCTCAAGAAGTGTTCAGTTTGAGTTAGTCATGCAAACAAATTCCACCTGGAGTATGTATTATTCTCTGAAGAGAATATTATATTTTCTGAGACACCAAATACTACTTTGTGAGTGCTGTAGAACTGCAGTGTTCCTGTACAAAAAATGGGAAACAGATGTACAGAGGTTGCACAAAGAATTGATATAGAGGACTGGGAGATAAATTTTATATTTCTGTTATTGCTGTATTATGAATCTATTTCTGTTTCATTAAGGATTGTGGCTAGGGAGGGGAGTTATATGATAATTCTTTGTCTCCTCATGGGGTGACTTAAGTGATCCTTGTCTGCATATACTGTATGTAGTCCATGTCATCAAAACAGGGTATGGGTAGAATCGGTGGCGATTGCCTTAATCCCAACAGAGTTCTTCAAGGCCACAGGCAGCTTGAAATTACAAGGGTTCTGAATACTGTCGTTCCATGCTTTCTCCATACAATTGTTAGCACCCATTTGAATGAAGCCGGCTCAAGCCTACTCTTGTTTAGAGCTGACCTTGGGCTTGCAGGGCATACTATTTACTAGAACCCTGTTTTACAGCAAGTAGAGATTGATGCAACAGATGTGCACTTGAAATGAAATGATGCCATGTCCAGAAATGTATATTGAGTACCAAGATCAAATAGAGTTTACAGTCTTTGAACATAAAAATTATTTCTTGGTTATCTCAGTATATTCTGGCAGTGTAATTTAGGGGAAGGGAGTCATTTTGTTTTGCTCTTCCTAAAGCCTGGGAGTCAGACGTCTTTGCTGATCTAACTACAGCTGAACCAGAAATCTTTTAGTAGATGCAGATATAGTTTTGTCTGTTGCCTGCTTTTCTAAGGCAACAGTACCATGTTGAACCAGCAGAAGGCTTGTATGTATGGGAACATTTACTGAGTAAAATGCAGCATATGTGAAAACAAAACAAAAAAATTGTTATATTGTTTAATAGGAAGTTTAATTTTATTTAAGAAAAAATGGATTGAGTTCAGTGGTGTGCCTTCCAAACATAACTTGTTTTTGGAAGTTAAACAGAATGTAAGGGTACTACAGCTGGACTTTAGGCAGATCCTCTGGATTATAATTGAAATCCATATTTTCAAAGAATGTGTATTTAAAAGACTTTCACAGACTGGCATACAATAGTCAATTTCAATTTACTTTCCTCAGAATCAAACTGTCATGTATTATTTAGCTTATTTATTGTTAGATATTTCCATTGCTCATATTTGTTATTCTTTAAAGCAGGGGTATCCAACCTTTCACCTTCCCTGGGCCACATTAGAAGATGAAAATTCGGTTTGGGCCGCACATAAATTTGGTTTGGGCCACAAGGGGGGCAGCCCTAGCCGTCCTCCTTAGCCCCACTCCAAGCGTGCTTACCAGCAGCTGCGATCTCAGACAGCAGAGGCTGTCAGCTTTGACTCTGGCGGCTTTATGGGGCTGGGAGGGGGTCCACCTATTGACGGGGACAGCACAATGCAGTCACGCAGCCCTCTCTCCCCTCCCCTGCCACTCCTTCCTTCCTTCCCTCTCCCCCCCCCCACCATTGTGATGTGCCCCGGCCGCATTCCAGCCGCAAGTGCCGGCAGTGTAATTTGAAACTTTGGAATTTTTTTTAAAATAAAAAATTGCACTGGGCCGCATTACAAGCCGACCTGGGCCGCATGCAGCCCACGGGCCGCAGGTTGGACAAGCCTGCTTTAAAGCCTTATGCAGGAAGGCTCAATTTTTTGGACTGTTTGTTCTGTCCTCAACCCCAAAATTTGTCTGATATGAAGAGTTATAATAGAACTTGGCAATTCCTTAGTGATTCAATAAAGGCATCACTCGGCTAGAAAAAAAGAGAGTCATATAGATACATTTACTTCCTCACTCTTGAAAGGGTAACCCATTCCTATGTCAAACACTTGCATTTTGGGAGTAAGTAGTTTAGTGCAAGACATCGGAGTGTCTTCTGTCAAGCATTGTATTCCTAATTGAATTAATAGGGAACCTGTACTAGAACAGTTATCTGACCAAATGCCAGATGAATGTTCTGTGAAAGAAAAGCTACTGAGATGGCCCTTCAAATTGCCTGTTCACCAAACTAAATGCTTTGGTCTTTATTTTTAAAGTGTATAGTCTTATAATAATTGCACTGGTTTTCTCTCTCTTTTTTCCTTTTTAAAATTTAAACTGTTTAAAATATCATTAGGGTGATGTATGAGCAACAGGTGCAGGATTCCTGTTGATTTCTAAATGTCTTGGTTATTAAATACCATCAACACTGAATGGGTTTTGAGGTGTCTTAAGTGAAATGGATAAAAACATCAGCTTTGCTTTTTCTGTAAATATTTCTTCCCTACCTCCAGTAGTATAAACAGCTATTAAGCACAGGACCACAGTAAGACTTAAAACTTCTAGTGAAATGTTTGAAAACCATAGTTAAAGCTGGTGATATTTTGCAACAGAGCAATTAACCTGGTCTTCTTTCGAACACTGAGTAGAACATATTCCTATAATGGCTCCTATATAAAATCCTTTTCAATATAGAACAATCAGTGGTGAAAAGACTGTGTGAACCATCTCTGCTTCCCTGTGTTTCACACTCCTGTTGTTTCCAGCTGCTAGATGTCAACGATGGTCATTGGTTCCTCCTTCTAAACAACTTAAAAAGTGTATTGTGATAGAGTGGCATAATATACAGTGGTGCCTTGCAAGACAATTGCCTCGCGGGACGATTAATCCGCAAGACAATGTTTTTTTGTGATCGTTGTTGTGCTTCGCAAGACGGTGTTTTCTATGGATGATTTTCACAAGATGATGTTTTGGTCTATTCTTCACAAGACTTTTTTTAAGACTGATGCTTCGCAAGACAGTTCCCCCCCATTGGAACACATTAAATAGATTTCAATGCATTCCAATGGGGAACCGCGTTTTGCAAGACGGTGCCCCCCCATAGGAATGCATTAAATAGATTTCAGTGCATTCCAATGGGGAACCGCATTTCACAAGACAATGTTTTCTATGGACAGTTTTCACAAGATGATGATTTTCCCCCCATCGGAACGCATTAAATAGATTTCAATGCATTCCAATGGGGAACCGCATTTCACAAGACTATGTTTTCTATGGACAGTTTTCGCAAGATGACGATTTTCTCCCCATCGGAACGCATTAAATAGATTTCAATGCATTCCAATGGGGAACCGCGTTTCGCAAGACGATGTTTTCGCAAGACAGCTATTTTCATAGAATGAATTAACATTGTCTTGCGAGGCACCACTGTACTTCAAATGAAAATTGACAGCAACATCAAATACATAGCTATTAGCTAATTATTCTAACTTTGGCAAGTAAGAATGTGGTACAGAGCTTGTGATGAGACCATACATTTTATTAAATTTTTATCTTTTATTTTCCCGTTCTCACAGTATGTTGGCAGATAAATTAAATATGACCCCTGAAGAAGCTGAACGATGGATTGTGAATTTAATCAGGAATGCAAGGCTGGATGCCAAGATAGATTCAAAATTGGTAAGCTCCACATCACACTAAACAGCCTGATCATTTTTTAAAGGAGATATGTTGAAACTAGTACCAGCAATAGCAAGATGATGTGCTATGTGTTGTTTTCAACTTACTGTTTTGTGAGTGTCTGATGCTAAGGTGACTTACGGTGGCAATGAAAAACAAAGTACACCTTTCAAGCTGCATGTGAAGGTGTTGTTGTTGTTTATTTGTTGAGTCGTGTCCTACTCTTCGTGACCCCATGGACCAGAGCACGCCAGGCCCTCCTGTCTTCCACTGCCTCCCGGAGTTTGGTCAAATTCATGTTGGTAGCTTCGATGACACTGTCCAACCATCTTGTCCTTTGTCATCTCCTTTTCCTCTTGCCTATGAAGTAGATAGAACCAAATGATTTATTTAGTAATGCTTACTACTTAGCCCCCCAGAATACACATTAATCTTTAGAGCTCTTCAGTAATGTATACAAATACTGGTGTTATGGCCTGAGCCATAGAAGGATATTGAAGTTCATTTAATTAGCTGATTTCTGAGGTAAGATTTGAATAATGGGTCTGTAGTATACATTATGATTCCAATCATAGTCCACTCTAGATTATAAACAATTGAACTAGGATCTATTACAGGAGTATTCTGAAATACCTCTGAAAATAAAGTCTTTGAATAGCCCTAGTGAGTAAGAGTGTAATTGGAAATAATTAGAGAGTAATCTCAAATAGGCATAGGACTTTTAGAATTTTAGGATTTTGGTCCCATAATTCACCTCCAGGCTGACTTATGAGAGTAAAAGCCTTCAAACAAGGAAGACGAAAACGGCTCCCTGCTGCCATCTGTTCCCACACTGCTGCTTCTTTCAGTGGTAAGAAAAACGCTGCACTAGAGGTGTTCCATTGGAGGCTGCCTCTCTACAATCTGATGGGTGTTGGAACTTGCCCTCCAGTGGACCTTTTGTAAGTCACCAAGATCTGTGGAATCCCCATGCAGCAGGGTGCTTTTCTTACTGTTCAAAGAAGAAGCAGCATGGAGGTATAGAGGGATGCTCTAACTTCTGGTGGTGGAGGACTCTCACTCTTGTATTTCTGCCTGAGGGATTCTGAGTGAATTATGGGTCGGGAAGTTCTAAAATTATAAAAGCTTCATCCTTTTAATGACAAATGCCATAAATTTGAAATCCGAGTGGATAAAAATCAATGGTTTATTTAAATTGTTATTTAAATCAATTTGTTTTAAATCAAATCCACCCTATTTGAAATACTCAAATTATCCTAACTAAGGAGCAATAGAGTATATGAAGAAAACACAATGCGTAAGGAAATGAGAGAAAAAAATTTAAAAACCATATACACAAGGACTGTAGAAAAATGTAAATGCAGCAGTTGAGTGAAATGTGAAATGAGCAAGTTGGATTAAAGTGTACAAGTAGAGAGCGGTATTTCTATACAGATAGGAATATCCCCATGCAGCTGGAATTAACGAGTCTTCCCCCTAGGGCTGGACCATCCAATCGTGTGTGCGGTTGTGGCGGCCTCACTCATCCTTCCAATCACTCCCGGAGCCCCGCTCTCTTCCTGTTTGGCTAGCGACTTGGCAGCTGTGCAGGGAGATGCGTCCTCCCTCCCTTTGCTTGGAGTGGCTAGCTGAGCAGGAAGAGAGTGGGGCTCTGGGAGTGATTGGAAGGATGAGTGAGACCACCGCCGTTACTGGATGTGTGAGTGGACGGTCCAGCCCTAGGGGGCGGACTCTCATTAACTCCAGCTGTGTGAGGATATTTATATACGAATACCCGCATCGCTATGCAACAGCTAATTGACTACACTAAAGGCCTAGAATACTCTGGCCTTAGATGAAAATCCCAGAGTTCAAAGTATAAGGTCTAACAAAATCCAAAAGGATCATTAGTCCTGATAAGACCTGATTAGAAAATGTTTAAAAGTAAGTCTGAGTCTTATGGAAGCTGAAGTTCAAACCAACTGGAAGGCAGCAGGTTAAGGAAGACTACATTACACAGTTAGGAATAGATGTGTGGGTTGGAATATCATTGGGATTGATCAGAGGAAGAAAAAGCATTGTAATGTAAAAGCTCTCATATGTTCTGTTAACTTAGGCTGGGACTGAAGTGGTAGAAGTAGACTTTGGGGATAGGTGTTTCAAAGCCGAGAGGACCACAGAGATCAAGAGAGTTATACAGTACTCTCCACAGAGTACTGCAATATTTCTTAGTAGCACATTGTCCATGACAAATCTCTAAAATGTTAAACTCAATCTGGCCATGGTGACATGCCTCTGGAAAGTGTCTGGAAACTTTAGCAGATCAAAAAGACAGTGGCCAGATTGCTAACTGGGGTTGGTCATAGGGATCACATAACCCTCCTTTTACTGCAGCTGCTCTGATTGCCAATCTGTTTCTGTGCTGAATTGAAAGTGCTAGTTCTAACCTATTAAGTCCTAAAATGCTTGGTCCAAGCTATCTCAAGAGCTGTGTCTACCTTTAGGAGCCTGGTTGGGTGTTAAGATCATCAGGAGAATCCTTTGTCAGTCCCACTACCTTGGCAGATGCATCTAGTGGAGACACAGGAAAGGGCTTTCTCTGCTGCTGCTCCCAGACTTTGGACCTCCCCCTCAAAGGAGGCTAGGCTAGCTCCATATTCATCATCCTTCCACAAGCAGACAAAGACCTTTCTCTTCAGGCACTCTTTCCCGTAATTGATTTGGCTGCCTCAATGGGTTTTTAAATGGATGGTTGTGCCATATTGCTTTAAATGTGGTTTTGGTGTTCCTTTTTTTACTGTCTTTAGTGTGGTATTTGCCCAACCATTTTTAGTGTTTGTATACTTACTGTTTTAGCTGCAAATATTGTCTCTTAATGGTCTAAACTGCCTTGGGTTCTGTTTAAAGAGAAAGGCAGGATAAAAACGTTTTAAAATAAATAAATACACTTGATAAACACTAAGATTGTAAAATGTTACAGGCAGTCTTATCCAGCACTGACACAAAGATGAAGGAAAATGTATTGGTCAGTTTGAGTGAGCAGAGCTGCAAATGTTCCCTACATAACAATGACAAATGCTATTATTAAATTCTGACTAATGACCAAATAAATAAATTAATCAATATTGAGGGCATGTATCCAGTGCACAGATTTGTTTGCAGAGCCTTTGTTTTTCTTTTTCTTTTTAGGGTCATGTTGTTATGGGGAACAATGCAGTATCACCTTATCAGCAAGTGATTGAGAAGACCAAAAGCTTGTCTTTCCGAAGTCAAATGTTAGCTATGAATATAGAGAAAAAACTGAATCAAGGGAGTAGAGCTGAGGTGAGTTTCTCTGCTAATTCATTGCCAGTGTAAGTACTGTACAAGTTTCCAGAAAGGGAGGATGTATTGGCAAAATGTTATACCAGTTTAACCTTTAGAGACCAACTGTCTTAAGCCAGGAAATCAGTGTAGACATTTATCTGTTGAATGCTGAGTCATGTTGCTCCATACACAGCAGATAATGCCTGTGTCAGTTTCTTAACTTGAAGCAGTTCATCTCCAAAAGTTACAGTACATTGTTCGCATTTCACTGGTGTAACTGCACCAAAAGAGTTTTGGCCATTCAAGATGATGAAGAGTCACAGCGGGATATAAATGGTATATCTAATTATGGCATTTATATTTCTTCATTTATTCATCTTCAGGGTTGGAATATACTTACGGAAAATATATCTACAATGAAGCCTTTTCTTTCTGAAAGTAAATTCATCTGCACATAAAATTCTTCACACCTGCATTTATTGCTAGGATTAAAAGCAGTTGCAAAAAAAAAAAAAAATCAAATATCTGTTTTCAACATGTATGAATCTGGAATGTGCAGTACATTGTATCTTGACATGTACATTTGCTTTTTTTTCAAAGGCACCTAACTGGGCTACTCAAGACTCTGGCTTCTACTGAACTACTTTTGCAAAAGAAAGAAGGCATCTATTTGATAAGAACTTCAATTATATACTGTTTTGAAGAGTTAACAATTATGTGAGCTTCACAGCACATGATGATTTGAATAAAATTGGCTACTTTTAATTGACTGGCTGTCTATCTTTAATTGGATTTGTAAGAAGTCCTTTGTTTAAAGCAACAAAACTCATGATTTTTCAAAAGTTTCAAAAATCTCATTTAAAGACCCATTTAATCTTTAATCATAATTTCTAAAGTCCCCCAAGTTCTATGTCTCCACTGGAAATTCCAAAAGAATAAATTAGCCATATGTGAACTTTGATTCAAAGTTACACTTTCTGCTATTTGGACTGTGCTACCTCCCCACCTCCCCCGCCTCTCCAAATAAGAAACTGCAGGCAGTGTCAAAATGTATTGTGACTGTGTCACAATCCTAAACAAAAAAGGGGAGAGAATTATGCCCGAAATATTTATTGCTATTATTGCAGTCTCTGTGTTTATTGTGTCCATGTATCTTGAAAAGGAAATTTAAAATACTAGGTAGGGGTTATAAAATAGTTGGGAATATAGCATTTTTTAATGGAAAATGATAGGCGGGTATAGGCTTTTGCCCTCCAAGTTTCAACTCCTGCTAATTCAAGTTAATTGAATCATGTGTAGGCTTTCAGCCAGCAGTAAGGAATTAATACAGGGCTGACTTGGTTTAAGGCAACTACATGCAGATGGAGATTTTCACAGGTTGATTGTAGAAGTACCTTGCCACTGTCAATAGATTAATATGTGCCAAGCTTAGATAGTCTTAACTTGTTTCCAGGATGGTTCTGTCATGGGGCTTTGTTCACAGCTAGTGTAGTGCTTGTGAGTTGTAACATTTTTTCCATTTAGTTCAGTACTGTTTCTGTTAATATTTGAACATTTGTGTAATAGACAGCTGGTCTGTTACTGAAAGAAATGTTTAGAAAAGGTTTTCATTGAAAGTCTACAACTTGCTTGACTTTTATTTCTGTCATACTTATTTATTTAATTTTTATTTATTTAATTTATATGCCACCCACACTACCCAGAGGTCTCTGGGCGGCTTACAACAATTAAAATTCAATACAATAAAAAATAAAATGATTAAAATACAATTAAACATACAATACTTGCTATGAATAGATATTTTTCACTATTTAGGAAAACAGAGATCTAATCCATGATATGTTATAGATGTGGAAGCCAAGTACAGTGGTGCCTCACTTAGCGACATTAATCCGTTCCAGGAAAAACGACGCTAAGTGATTTAATCGCTAAGCGATTTTAAAAAGCCCATAGAAACATATTAAAACACGTTTAATATGGTCCTATGGGTTTAGAAACTAACTTTAAGCGAAATTCCTCCATAGCGGCAGCCATTTTGGGTGCCTCAAAAGAGAGGCAAAACAGCAGCCGCCATTTTGGAAATGCCGATCAGCTGTGCGAAAAAAGGGGGCTTTGCAATGATTGCAAAGCCCCCATTT